TAAAATTTAACTTGCTGTAAACTGCATTTCCATTAGCTCCCCGAGCTAAAACGGGTCTCTAGCAAGGTGGGAAATATCCCATATACTGGTTAAAAAACAACGTTTTTACTGCTCCACCAAAACAGCACTGCAGCTAAAATCTATAGACTATGAGAGGAAAATTGTCTTTTTTAACTGGTTAAAAAATTGTTTGGTTTCTCTGGTTCTGGAAGCCTAAAATGGTGACGAACGTTTATTGCATATAATCTTTAGCGGGTTAAAACAAACATTTCAACCGCTCAAAACAAGCCAACTAAGACACAGTGCCGACCTTTAAAAATCAGATAATTAAAAAAACACAAAGGTGGGTCGCTCACTCACCAGATTCAGTCTCCTGGTCGCAGCACACATCGCCTCGGATAAGCTAACCGCGCAACAGGTGAAACAACAAGAGCGGGAGAGGTAACGGAAATTGCTGCATTTCAAGTGCTGCCAGGAATAATCGAAAAATTATTTCATACCTTCAAATTAAATATAACCTCTATACCATTTGCTTAGATGTAACGTTGTAATAAATATTTAGTTAATTGACTTGGTCCATGTTAAGAGTGACTTATTAGACAAACCCTGATAACCAAGTCCAATATTTTTTGGTTTTACGGAATGTAGGTTACTCATGCAGCAAAACAAGTCTGGACAAAATTAAAAGTTTCAAACCGTCTCAGGCACGTTTGATAACGTGAATCTCCACTTGGTATGCTATCAATGTCTTTTGTAAACACTCTTAAAAATATTAAAATAACAACACATCGGTTTTGTAGGCATCCCATGTTGTTCCCACATCTTATTTTCCCCACAAAAGTCGGAAAAAATTATTCCCAAAACTCAGGGAAATGGCGGAAAACTTCCAATACAAATGAATGCAGCACTAATCATCAAGTTCAAATTCTGTTGTTGGACGTGAAAATAAAAGAGGGCGTTGGCATGACCAAAACTAAAAAAAAAAATCTTATGAATTCCAGGCCCAATTAAACTTAAATTATTCACACATTTTATATTGCTACAAATATAAGTATATTCTACTTTCTTAATTAGTGAATATACTTACATTTGATAGAGGCATGCAATCCAAACTTAAATGTATTGATTTACATTGTAACTTGATTGTTTGATCTAGAATAGGAAATCCGGCTAACAGTGTAGGATCTTGCTGTCTCCCACGAGATCTGGTCTGTATGCTTTTGTAATCTTTTTCATTTTCACAACTCTTCTGTCAGAAGCCGTCTGTGGATACCATTAAGTAGAAATTTGTAATTTGGGTGTTAAAACCAGGCATTTTTAAAATATCCAGCCACCCCTGTATCATAAGCTACATGTGTGACTTTTTTAAACAAAAATCAAAATAAAATAATATTAAATTTGGGAAATCGGTCCAAAATTCAGGGCGCATTAATTCTACCTTTTGAGGATTGAGGAGTTCCTCTTTCCTCGTAAATGATGCCACCGCTGCCTCTGCTAGCCCTGTTCCAAGATTGGCCGCCCTTGTAGGCACGCCGCTCCACAGTCGATGCGGCGTCTATGTATATATGTCTATGATTTCCACTCATCTGGTTTAACTTTTATTTGCTACGATGGGCAAGCCGAGTCTTCAGCTCCCCCTTGTGGCAATTCAATATCAATTTAAGTCTGTACGTTAGCAAGCTACTACTAACTTTTAAAAGTCAAGCCACGTGAGGAAATTCACAATTATCCCAATTTACGATATATAATATTGTCATAACTCATCATTGTATAACTTTAATTTACACAAGGATGCCTCTTCCCTGGGATTAAGCTCCATGAAGTGGACCCTTAAGACCCCATAGGTTTGCAGCTAAACTGCAACAGAAGGCACGGTAATTAATGCACATTAGAAGACCCAATAATCTCTGCTCATCTGTGTGTGGCTGTAATTCCTTTGCAAAACAACCAATCAGCCAGCCAGTCTGTTACCCACAAGCCCGGTGTGCTGTGTATTAAGAGAGTGTACATAATAAGCTGAGTTGTGGAGTTTCTGCTTCCCAGCCAGCCATTTGGAGAAGAGTATTATCCCAGCAGAGCTTAGCTTCCACTGAGCTGAGTCAGGGTGTTGCTGTTGCTCCTCTCACCTGCTGCCGACAGCAAACCAGCATGACTGATTGACTGACTGACTGACTGGGAACTTGAAGGAAACCAGGCCTGCTTCTCAGCTGGAGTCACTCAAAGTTAAGTTGAAATGGCTCTCCGCAGATCCCCCTCCTCTACCCGCCCAGGTGAGTGCCCCGGTAACGTATAGGAAACCCAGCAGGACCCTCCTTTGTGTGGCCTGTCCTGCCTGTCCCTCCTGTATCCTCACCCAACAAAAAGGACACACTAGACAGGACCACCGTAGAGTAAACCCTCCTATTGTCCCGTCCCATTTCCCCCAGTGTTTGTGTGCGTTTGTGTGTGTGTGTCAGCAGGCCGCGTGGGGCAGCCGTCAACAGGCAGCTCTTTACGGCAAGCAGGGTATACAGTTGCATGTGAGGCTGCTGTAGTTTAATTCGATTATTCATTCAGGCCCCTCTGAGCTAATGTAGTGCTCTTGTTGTTCTCAGCTTGTCTCCCAGAGGAAATATTTTGACACATTTGAACAGAGTGAATCAGTTTTTAACGATGGCATGTCTCAGACATGTGCTCCCTCGCGGTAAACCTCAAGCAGGGAGGTAATCCCGGTTAGTGTACATGGCTGACTGCTGCTCTCCTCTGTATGTGAGGTGAGGAAGTCATTAGGCCGGAATTCAAATTCTACTTTTTTTTTTGTTTTAGTGAAACAGTAGGAGGAGGATAGTAATAATAACTAAACTGACTAAACGAAGCATCCCCCGCTGTTCAGAAACAACAGAAAAGAGAAAAGAGCTGAGACGCTGACTTCAGAAGACGCAACTTGTGCATTGTAGTGCATTTTATTGGGCAGCTTTAGGGAAACCTTTTCTAATGGTGCAGATAGGTGATATTGACTGTGGCAGGTGAATGATTGGGGCTCTGATCAGGATTTACTATCAAGCCTCCAGGAGATTCTATGTTACAAAGTCATTATAATACCGTAACCTTAGATGGCCGATTGATAGCCGATAATTACGCTTCAACTGTTGCACACACCTTTCCTTTGGCATCGATGGCTGGCTTCTATGTAGTTTGTTAACCCAGAATAGCACATGTGGAGAGTTCTATCTGTGCTGTTGAATGAAAAATTAAAGACTCCCTCCAGACATGTTTGAAGAGATATAAAAAGTTATCTTCTTGGAATAACAGTTTGCGTCTAATAGGGTTTTTTGTCAAAATTAATTAAGAATTCTTAAAATGTCACCATAGTTTCTCCTACATGCTTGGAAGGCAAGTGGTATTCAGTTCACTGCTAGATGCCACTAAGTCCTACACACTGGTGCTTGAAAAGTACCCTATGGAGTTACATTCATTTACTCACCAAAACACATTGTGTGCATCCTTCAAGTCTCACAAATCCAAGTAAAATATTTGCAAAGAATCTTTGTTTAAAGTATTTTAAATCCTGCATTGTTAAGGTAACTGGACAATATTCCTTAATAAACCGGTTTAAAAATCAATTTGGGTGGTTAAGGCCCTTTGTTTCGCGGGAATGGTACCCCCCCCCACCCCTCAGGCCCGGCCCGCCGGACAACTTTGCCACTTTTGGGAACTACTTCGGTATTGGGAAATATGAGTATCGGACCGAAAAACGCGAGACCCATACGTTTTTGACCGGCAATTTTCCACTAAACGCACAGCGCCTCATACGGTTAGTGTTTTATCTACCCACCTCGGTAATTATCTCCATGAACAAAGTTTCGGAAAAAAGGCACTCGCCGGTTTAAAAAGGGGGAGGGTTGGCGAAATATTTTTTTTTTTGAGGGTTGTGGAATACAATCGAAGCTTTAAAGGGGAGCCTTAGTTGAGCAAAACATTGACGATGACAAAGTGGAAACCCACCGAGAAAAATCCCGCTAGAGTTGTTCCAGTTTCCCCCTTTAACATCTTTTGGTTATTTACTAACTGTCCTTCTTCTTCTCCATTTTGTTTACACATCGCCTTTTTGCACTACACACCTATGGAATGGTTGTTTAAACCATTGGCAGGATGTGGTAGTTGGTCCCCATGGTGGGCGCTGTATGTTTTCTTGGGTTGCCGTAAAACATGGAACACCAAACACCACTTTCTAGAATCTCCATAAAACTTGAAACTTAGCCGGATACCAGATTGTAAAGCACAGGGAACCCTTTATGGTACCCGCGAAACTTTTTTGCCCTTCAAGTAAAAGTGGTCACTCTTGCACATACACCATTTTCAACAGTTGATCTTCACCCATACAAAGTAAAAAGCACCATTTGATGGGGAGGATTATTTAGCAATTTTCTGGTTCTCTGTTTAATGGCTCCGTGTTTTTGCGATCTTTGGCACATCTTCCATACTGATCTTCCAGCAT